GGAAAGAATATAAAAATGTAGAAGAGTTTTTCAGAAAGCCTAAATAATCTTTGTAAAAAAGTTACTTTCTTAAATCAAAGTTTTCCCAGACTCAGTCTGCCTCCTAGTAAAACATCATTTATTCTCACAGCAATGCCAGAATATGGGTGAGGGGGGCAGTTATTGACCTGAAATGAAGCATTCAGAGCCCTGGACAAGATGTCAGATATGGAATTCAAGTTCTAAGTCCAATAGAACTAAGAGTGCAATTAAAAAAAATAATAGGTCACTTTCTCTATAAAATTAGGCAAGTTGAACAAATTAAATAAGATAACATGAGAACATTTTTAAACAATAAGCACTATACAAAGCTAGGTCACATGTGCAAATTTTTTATGGAAGGCAGAGGACAGAGACACCACAGCTTGTCCCTCCACCTCCCGAATCATCCCCAACAGTCAGCACTGTCAGCCTGAGGAAGAGATGATATCACAGATGAGTCTCTAAGGGAATGTCCCTCGTGACTGTGTAGCTGGAGTAAATTCTGAATTTCAGTAAAATTCTGCTCAGCTGGAGAAAACTCCAGAAGGCATTCTAGCCAGCAGAGATAGGAGGAGGCAAGGCAGCAGTCATGATGAGGTACACAGGGCTGACCGGGGAGCCCACACGGCAGCACAGAGGGGAAGGTGGTGGGGACACATGGGAGAGTCTTGCGTGGAACTCGGGCTTTGGCTTCTCAACAGGAGGAGCCTGTTCCCAGGAGTTTCAGCAAGATTAAAAGAGAGGAGAGCAGCATTTCATGAAGACTGGTTGATGTGAGGGCCTTGCGTGTGACAGAGTGGCCGGAGGAAGCCCCAAGAAAGCTGTCCTTGCAAAGGCCCAAGCCTAGTAAAATGTGGAAGAGTAAGTAAGCAAGAATAGCTGGGCATTCCGGAGGAAAGCATTCAGAGGTGGATCGATTCCCTGAACTGCTGCAATTCTCTCTCCTGTGGAAAGCTAGGGGGATTTCCAAACCTTCAAACACGGAGAATCCCTCAGTTCATTGAAATGTCTGTTTCTGGTCTTTGGAAATTGCTGGCTGTTGACGTGTGTGGGAAATGCAAGCAAACAGAGCTCTCCAAAAATACATCCTCCTTCCTCTGTGAAGTGTCAGTGTCACTTGACCTGTGGCACTGCCCAAGAGAGCCATTCGAGGGCCAGGGACTCTCCAGTTCGCAGCGCCACGCTCAGGCTGTGAACGCCTTCCCAAAGCCCTCTTCGATGGGGACCATTTCCTGCACATTCCTTTCTCTCCTTCGGCATCTCAGTGCCGTCTCTCAGCACTTCGAACATGCAGAGAGGGCATTTGTTGCCCTATTTAAAGAGCTTCCTTTGGGCTCTGAATTGTCCTGGCCTGCTGCTGTCACCATGTCCTGCACCCTGAACTATCTGGTTCCAGATGGCCTCAGGGATAATGGACTACCCAGGTACATTTTATGACTGTACGAATCAGCAGGAGGCCCAGCTCAGCCTGCAATGCCATCAGACAGGAGGTACCCGAAGACCTCTTGGCCAGGTTTCTCCACGTTACCCCAGAGGCATGCCAACTTCTCTCTGTAGTTTCTCCTCACAGTCTGGGCTAGTGGCAGGGGCTAGTAACTGGTGTTTGGATGA